ATAATTCATAAAAATATTATGAATCCATTAGCAAGTTTATATTTTTATCATTAAAAATTTGCCCTTCTGTCTTAAATTTTATCTGTTTTTTTTAGCGATTGTTGTTTTTACTTTCATAAATTCTAAATATAATATGTAATTAGTAGTGATGTACCAATTAATCGGTATCGGCATCGGCTTAATCTGCCATTTTTTGTACAATCGGTATTGGGATCAGCCTTTTTTACCAATTTTTTAACCGATGGCATTTTAATATTTTTATCCTGCATTATTATAATAATTAAATAATAAATAAACTAAACTTTGTGCATTACTTGGATAAATTTTTATTTTGACTTTGTTTGCAGGTAAAAACTTTAAAAGTAACCTGTTTAAGCATTGTTATCTATATATTTTTAGTTCTTTTTTACTCCCAATAAGGCTTCAAGCAACCACTATCAAAATGGGAGTTGCTAGAAAAAAAAAGTAGAGTTATAGAGCAATGAAGTGGTTGATAGAAGACTTAAAAAGTTGAAGGTTGTATGAGTCAGGAAAATATGAAGACGGGACAACAAAAGACAAATAAAAGTTTTTGGAGCATGAAGAGACAGATACAGTCGAAGAATGAGACTTTTATGAATGATAAGTCAAGCAAGAATGAGTTTTGATTGATGGAACTAAAGATGAAAGCTCCTTTGAGCAGCACCCATGATAGTATTTGTAGAAAAGAAAAAGAGATGCAACTTTACGACGATGAGAAAGAGGCTCAAGCTTTGCAGATAGACCAGGTCCAACTCTGTTTATAATACGTTTTTAAACGTTATCTTGAAGAAAAAGTCCATCAGTAGAAAAACCAGCCCAAATATGATAACAGTATTCCATACAGGGACAAATAAGAGCTTTAAAGAGGTAGGGAATGGAATCAGGAGAGAGAAAATGGTGAGCACGATAAAAAGAAGCAACCTTAGCAGATGCTAATTTAGCAATCGATTGTATATATGGTTTCCATGAAAAGTCAGTAGTAAATGATAATTCAAGAAGACGTAAAGAAGTAGAACCAGTGAGAGGGTTGCCATTCATCAATAGAGGAATGTCGACAGTACTACAATAGTTATTTGTCTGACAGCAAGTTATTTGACTCGAGATGGAATGTGAGAAATTTGTTTATCAAAGACCTGCTAATAACAGAAAGAAGACTAATTGGACAATAATCGGAGGGTCAATAAGTTTACATAATAAGAGTGTTTAAAAATTAGAACAACAGATGGCATTTTTCAGCAGGCAGGAAAACAAGATTCAGTCAAGCACTTATTAAATAGTTTAGAGAAAATTGAAGAGAGTTCTGGAGAACAATTTTGTTAGACTGTGACAGCAATGTTGTCTACACAAGCCATAGAAGAGTTTAATCGGGATATGACTATGAGTAATGGAAGTTGAAATGATTTGAATGTCTAACAATGGGTTAACTAGAATTTTAATTAGAATGGAAGGAAGAGAATGGCCATAAGGTTCTAGAATTGGCTTAGAGGAGAATTTCTTTGCAAATAGTTCAGCCTTATTTCATGTATTTAAGTATTGCTAAGTACTAAGTATATTTCTAAATTTTTGATTTTTTTTTATTTCAATTCACCTCCCTAAGGCCGCGAAGGCCACTTCAATTGAGAAGGCTACTTAAGTTATGGTTACAACCCACTTTCAACTTTATAACTCAGAAACACAAACCTTGATGAACAATGCCTCTGCGTTGAGAAACAAGTTAAGCGCTGTACTACCAGGGACGTAGTGGGGATCCAACATAACAAATTAAAATAATTCTAAAAACAATTTATTTATCTAAAAATAATTTCTGACTAAACAACACATAATTGTTGCTTAGATATCTAAATTGCTAATAAATTGATAAAGAATTCTAAGTAAACTGCATATACATATTTTCTTTTTTTAAAATTAAAATCAAAAGCGTTCCTCTAAAATTGTATTTATTTTTTTGAAAGTTTTCTTTTCATAGTAAAAAAAAAATAAAAATGTATATTTTTTTAACTGAGTTTTTCTAATATCTTTTAAAATAATTGTTTGGCTTTGATTTGAGTCCAAGTATTTGTTTACCAGTATCAATTTAAAGTTTTATGGTTTTATATTTTCAAATTTTTAATAATTTGTAAATTCATTGGTATCGGCATCGGTATCGGCCTTTTCCCATCCCTCGGCATCGGTATCGGCATCGGCCAAAAAAGTGATATCGGTACATCACTAGTAATTAGTTGTATAGTTTCTTAATAATATAATTAACTTTATTGTTTCAAAATAAAGTTGTATCCTTGAAAGATATGCTGGTACAATGGGATATGCTGGTATTATTGGCACAAGCATTGAAGTGTAGCTTGGTGAACTACAAAACACATCAAAAGCAGTTATAAAAATTTGAGTAACAAAGGTATGCTAATTATTGTATTGCCTGAAAGAGTGTCATTGCCATTAAAAACAGTGAAGAACTCAAGTACTCTGGAAGAAAAAAGACAAGAAAACACTCAAGTAAATGGTAAATATTTTTTTATGATCTGTTTATGCATTTTGTATGATATCTTAATACAATTTATATACTTTAAATAAAATACTCTTTGAAGATTTTTTGTAAATGACATTTTATATTTAATTCTAAACAAAAATTACTTTAATTATTGCCAGGTTGTTTTTTTTTTTTGCAGTTTAATTATTTGGCACATATTGGAGTTAAAGACGAAGGAAAATGTATATGTTATTTACTAAGAATAGTTTTTTAAAATGGCCTAGCTGTAAAATTAAACTATGCAAGGAGAGGACAAAAAATTGGAATAGGAAAAATGTTGATTGCATATGTTGCTATAGGTAAGTGGTTTAGAAAAGTTCATTTTTTCAGTTTCAATTTTGCATTACAGAATTACTTTCAATTTGTTATGTTTCTTTGTGCATAATCAAACAAACAACTTTTTTTTTTGCAGAAACTGTGAAGTCAAATAAGCATGGCTTATGCAGACATGGGATAGAGATAGCGGAAGAAAAAATAATAATCGTGGGCACCAAATATCATAAGCTAAACACTATTCAATAAAAAGTAGCACAGCCCAATATCGATACTACTCTATAAATTTTATAGTGAATTTTTTCATTTAAAACTCAATGTGTCAGTTTTTGGTTTAAGTTTGGTGTTTGCAATAAGTATATTTAATCGAGAAATTATGTTAAATAAATAAATTTTTATACTTGTATCATACATTCTTTTTTTTCTCTATAATTTTTCAATGTAATGATGCAAATCATCTTATTTGTAACAACAATCTAATGTTGCATTAAAAGTTAGGCCGATATAAAAATAATCATTTAACATACAATATTGGGCCAATATTAATACAAACCTGCATTGGGCCAACATCGATCTTCAACGTTGGGCCAATGCATCATCATGCATTGGCCCAACGTTGGTCCAATGTAAGCTTGCTGTCTGGGATGTAATTTCGATTTGGCCAAAGCGTTGGTTCTCTACCTCAAAACAGACTTATGTTAAAATTAAGATATTTATGAATAAATAGGAAACAAAATAAAAAGGTATAATAAATCAATCTCTAAAATGCTCTGCTAAAATATATAATTTAGAAGTCATTATTTTGTGTAACGTAAGTGGAGTCCACATTTTTGTACAGTTGTAAGTGGAGCACACATTTTCGAACAATTGTCTCAAAGTCCTTACAAATTCTTGGTATGCAAAAAAAAAAACATTTACTCTCATTGATGAAAATATGGCTCACAAGTTATATAAAGTGTTTATTAGACCGCACCATAAATATGCATTGTCTATTTGGGCTTCTTATTTAAAAACCGTAAATAAGAAGCCCAACCTTGGTTAAATCTATTCAACGTAAAGCAACAAAATAAACTTTCAGCTTAAGACATATTTAATACCGCAAAAGACTAAGAAGATTGAATCTACCATTTTTTTATTGTTATTTAGTTGCCCCAAGAAAACCTAACGGTCTTGTCACAGAGCACCGCGGAAGTGCATTTAACCAGGAAGTTCACGCCTCCTTCCTTACAGCGACGCAAAAATATGTTTTAGGCTTGTTTTGAACCTGGATCTCCTGCTTATAAAGCAAACGCTCTAACCACTGCGCCACGGACTCATTGACTAAGATAGGGCAGCAATAAACTTAGGGCTAAGAAAATTGTCCACACTTTTTTCCTGTATTTTACACATTGAAAATTTCCGCATTTTTGCATTTTACTCGTGTCCACAATAACATATTATGATTTAAGTTGCTCATTTAAAATATAATAGCAGCACTTATGAATATTTGACATTACCCATTTGCAACTGCAAAAAGAACTCACCTAAAGGTGAGTTTCCACTCATCCGTTTTTTCACGGGAAAGGGAAGGGATAAATAATCACGTGGGGATACGTATTATAAGTTTTAATTACGCATGCTCACGTGATTATATTTACCTTTCATATTCCGTTCCCGTAGAAAAACGGATGAGTGGAAACTCACTTTAATAGCTACTGAAGCAGAAATAGCAGCTCAATTAAATTCAAAAGATGTATAGAACAATTTGCAGCTAATACGACAAGAAAAAAACTTTCATTAGATTTTTTACTTACTAAACTTGCAAAGTGTAACCTACTGGTTTTTATTTGATTAAATCAAAATTGTATTTAAAAATAAGGTTTTTGTTTTCATGAATTATTTTTGTCAAGAAAATAAAAGGGAAGCAGTGAAGTTTTAAAGGGCCCGGATTAAAATTTTGTCGTTACACTACTAGTTTTATACTTTTTTAAAAAGAAACACCACAACAAAACGTTTGTCTGACCATAGTCATAATAACAGATTATGATTATGTGTTTTATGACTATGGTCTGACGCTTTCTCATGAAAAGTTTAAAAAACGTGGTACAGAATTTTAGCACAAAATTCGGTTCCGTTCAACTGAGATTTCCGCGTATCTTGTTGTTTTCTGCACATTAATAAAATTTTTCACTTTCGGTTACTCAGACGAAATGACTCTTGATTTTACATTCTTTATTTTTATATTTTCTATTTTTTGTAACAAGATACAATATTGTACAAAAGTTGCATTAACTGAGTACAAGGCCGCAGACAACTTTTTTTGATGTTCTAGGATTATATTTTACTTAAATGTTATTATAATAATTATTAAAATAGAATATTTTAATCAATAGTTTATTGCATAAATTATTGATTAAAATATTCTAAAGTATCACTTAAACTGGTAAAAAAAAAAAAAACGAGGTGTATCTCGTTTTTTAACAACAGGTAATCAGTAAGTATAACTTATACATACTGCTTACCTGCTGTTAAGTATTATGGCTGTATATTAAGTTTTCTGAATTATTTTTTTTAATGAGCTGTATATAGGCTATATACTGCTATATTATAGCAGTTAAATAATATTCTAAATATGTCAATTGTTGTGTCTTTAGATGTACAAATTAAACTGGATCAAAAAATAGTTTAAATAAAAAGGTTTCTTTTTACAAGTAAGTTAAATTGTTATTAAAAAAATAACTAATATACAAATATAAATAACTCTGATATAATACTATAAATATTTTTTGACTTTAGATTTCGAAAAGATATAGAAAAGAAAAATAACAAGGTTCATAACATTGGGCAAGAAAATGACATACCTCCTTCAAATGTCACACTTTGCTCAGACCATTTTGAAAAATCTTGTTTTGATAAGACTACACAAACAATTCATTTGAAGCAAAATTCTGATCAAACAGTTTTTACATTTCCAAAACAATCTTCAAAGGTTTGTATAAGTTAACTTTTAATCAAAAATAACGCAAAAACTTTTTTCTAATAAATTGTAATATTGTCAACAAAATTATTTCAATTCATTAAATTCAAAATTAGTTTGCATAACTTTTATATTAGAAATTAATAATTATATTAATTTTTATATTTTTTATATTAGTAAATAGAAAAAGAAAAGCACCATCTGTAAACTTGACTTCTACTGAAAATGAAGGTGTTGAAAGTTCATTAAATGATGCGAATAGAAACTTTCCACCATTAAAAGTGCAAGAAAAACAAAATTTGCAATTTAAAATCAAAATTAAAAAGTGCTCAGCAAAAGCTGCCTCAAATCTGAAGTCATGTTTTTAAAGAAGGTTTTTTTAATGCCTTAAAATTAATAACTTAATTTTATCTCAATATGAAGAAATGCTTACAACAACATTTTCAGAAGTACCTCTAGAATTTATGGAAAAAGTTTTATTAATAAAAAATCCACATTGTTTCAGAAATTAATTTCTTGACAAACTGCAAACTTTTGCAATGACTTTGCAATTTTATTCTTCTAAAGCATATGAGTTTGTTCGAAAGACTTTTCAATTGGCACTACTATATCAATCTCAAATAAGACATTGGTACACCAAAGTACCAGTTGAACCTGGATTTACCATGCTGCTTTTATTGCTCTGCAAGCTGCTGTATGTGCCTCAAAAAAAAAAAAAGCAGATTGTGAGGTTTTGTTTTCCCTTATTCTTGGCAATAAGGAAGCAGGTAAAATAGGATGGAAAGAAATTTGGAGGATTTGTTTGTCTTGGAAATGGGATTGAAAATGATGATTCTTTATCATTGGCAAAAGATGTACTTGTTCTAAGTTCTTTTTGATGTTAGTGTAAAAGTTTTTTTACTAATTTGTGATGGTCCATCATACAACTTTGCAATGCTTTCTGAACTTTTTCTGCAATTTTAAAACCAAGTTTTCCAAGTAAATAAAAAAGTGTTTGTTCTTGTTGAGTTTATTTACATAGTAGATCAATTATATAACATATTAGACTCAAGAAACCCATTTTCCAAAGGATACAAGTCAGTATTGTGTGCAAGGCTTTTTGGTTTCCATTTTTTGACATGGCATGTAGTTATATCATAAGTCTTAAAGATACTAATGGTACGTAAATGATTTTCTCTAGTCAAAAAACTGGTTTTATTGATAGCAATTAAATTTGTTCAAGGTATATTTCTCAGTTGAAAAAAAAAAGTTTAACATTAAACTATATATATTTACATATAAGCTCAGTCAAGACCATCTAGAGCTCTTTTTTGGTGCTGTGAGATCTGCAGAATTGTTTAAGAGCAATCCCAATTGCCAATAGTTCACAGCCACGGATAAACGACTCTTGATGCATTAAGTACTCTTTAAGTAGCATTCAATGTTTAAATGGAAACTGCAGCATCAGTAATAAAACTCATATATTAAATGTTTAAGACAATTCTTTTGCTGGCTTCAACAAAAGAATCTTGCTTACTTCAACAGATAGCGAACTTCCAAAAGAAATAGGCATTCAAAATGCATTTTCAAGTGTTGTTTTGAGAACAATGGATTTCTCAAAAATTTTCAATGAACTAGCTCCTCATATGTTTGACTCAGCTATAAGTGATAACCATATATTTTCGCTGCTTCAACTCATTTCAGAGAACTATGCAATAATACACCTTGATCTCCTTGGAAAAGAACAAACTACCAAACTAACTGGAAAAAAGCTTTGGAAGCAATTGACAAAACTTGGCTTATTCGCTCACACACATGCATATGTTTAGTGATTTTGATTTAAGTACAACTAAATACAAAATAAGGTACAAATAGTTATATATAAAACTCTAGAAGGAACCTCTGAGTTGTGCATACTCACAGAACTCAGCTAATAGTTCATACAGCATTTGTAAATTTGTGATATCTATTTGAAAAACTAATTTCATAATAGTTTATTTTAAAAAGATATTCAGCTGCTTACCATGCAATTGAGTTATTAACCTTCTAGCACACAGCATTGGTAGTTGAGAACTAAAAGGTGCATAAATTGTATTAGAAACAATATTAAGTAATTAATTTTAGTAAAAGTAAAATTAAAAGAAATTAAATAAATAAAAAAATGATTAAAATTATTTTTTTTTTATTCAAATTTGAAATAATTTTTTAAAAATTGGTAGGTAATTGAAAATGTGGATAACTACTAGGCTCTTTTTTTTTTTTTACTTCTACTAATAGGTTATCACTACTAGGTTCTTTGTATAATAATAGTTTCTTATTTGTTCTTTACTAATTTTAAATGAACTAATTCTTCAACTAAAAAATTTTATTTTTAGTTATTTATTTAAAAAAAGAAAAATATACTTTTATATTTTATCTTATTGTTAAGAGTATATTTTGTTAACCAAAATATTATATATATTTTAGAAATTTACTTAAATATTGCGTGTTTTTTTTCTTATTTTTTTTAATTGTCAAGTAAAAACGGAAATTATATTTATATTTGGGGCTTGTACATTTAATAATGTTTATATATAAAAGACAAAAAATTCGTGACAATAATATTTAAATTTGTAATCAACCAAATTCGTGGCCATATTGAGATGCCAAGACTGGCTTCAAAAAATTTGCCGTATATGCTATCCAGCATAAATTTGCCGTATATGCTATCCATGTTTTGAGATCATTGATAACTCAAAACAGCTAAAAATAAATGTGGGATCCCTCAATGATCTATTCTACCTGCTCTTCTTTTTTTAATTTATGTCAACGACCTTCTTAAATTCTTGTCAAAGTAAGATGGCATAGTTTTTGTAAAGAACACCAATCTGTTTTATTCTTCTAGCTTAATCAGTGATTTCTAAAGCATGAGATCAAAAAAAAAGAGAAAAGAAAATTTTTTCAAAAATATTTGAATTAACTGTTTTTACAAATTTCTTTAATTTTTATTTAAACTTTTTTAAATTAAAAAGTATATAAATACTTTTAATTTCAAAATTTTTGTTCATTTCTAAAAATTAATTCTACATTACTGGTGATGGTGATCGTGAATTAATAGTCTTGCCTGTTTTACGCAAACATTCTGCCCGTTTTACGCAAATATATTGTCAAAACCCCCCAGTATTGAAGGGCCAGAATTGTTGGCCATTTGGTGGAATGGGCTTTTATGGTACAAAATTAACTTTCCTCAATTTATACCACTCCAAAGTTTTTTAAATGTAGTGGCACGAAGCTAAGTCAGGCCAAAACAAACAAGGTCTAGCGAGCGATCGAATGAGCGCCATAAATCACTTTAGTAGGCACTCTCGAATATAAATTTCTGATATCAAAGTTGATGACGTCACAAAAGCTATACTCTTTTTTTCCGCAACTACTAATTGCCTACCATAAAAGCTAATTTTTGCCACATTTGTCCACAAGTTTGTATTTATACTTGTTGCCTACGCTGTTACGAACAATTGAAGCATAATATTTGCACCAGAAAGTTGACTAAAGTCGCGTTTTATGTAAGTCTCGTTGTCCATCAAAATGCAGCCATTCAAACCTTGGGTGTAAAGTTTTCGTGGTCGTGTTTAGGCATCAATTTGGGTTTTTAATTGCTCAGAAAGACTTATAGATTAGTATTTTTTCACTTTCCTTTCCAAAAAATCTTTTTTGTAAAGGAAAGAAACTTTTTACTTTTTAACTCTTTCCCGTTTGGATAAGCCTTTTATTCAAAGGAACAACGAAACTTATTACCCAATCCCAGCTAGCACACTTATATTGGGCCAACCTATGTAAAACCATCGCGAACGTTGGCTCTTTTTTCCAATGCAAAACCAACGTTGATCCAATGTCATTTGGTTAATGATAAAATTATTACCAACGGAACTAAAAACATCTGGCAAATTAACATTGGTCCAATGTAGGTAAATACATCGCAAAAAGTTAATTGTTTTTACAATCTAATCCCAATGATGAACCAATACATATGTTTCGACTTTCAATGTATAAGCGTTGATTCAATGTATATAAATCAACGCTTTTCCAATGTATGTAAAAACATCGAAAAAATTTGATTGTTTTTACGATCTAAACCCAACATTGATTTAATGTATAAATTTTGACGTTGATTCAATTATAAAAATCAATGATTATCCAATGTATCTCAATATATCGCAAAAAGTTAATTGTTTTTACGAACTAAACCCAACGTTGATCCAATGTATGCGACCAAACATTGCTATTGCAAAATTATATAACTTAAATAAAATCTTCCGAGATTATTAAAATATTAAACCACAATCAGCACAAACATGATTTTTGTTTCATTGATCAAGCGTTGTCTGATTAATTTTTTATAACATTATTTACATATTACATAGTACTATATTACTATATATATTTATTACTATATATTATATAATACTATATTATAGGTTGCATACATTATTTGGCTTAAGCCAATTATGTATATAGTAACGTATTGCACCTTCTAATATCGTATGCAATCCTGTCCGCTTTCTCTATGCTATCTTTCTAACTCGACTACTTCTGTCAATAACACTAAAATATCTTCGTTCTTCCCAAATTTACTTACTCTTGGTCCGTAGAGCGGGTTATGACGCTCCTTGAGGAGCTGAACTTGTCTTTGCGGACCTTGGTAATGTGGCCTCTGTATGGCAACTAATCGGAGGGGAATAAACCACAATACCTATTATATAATATTAAGTAAAGAAAATAAAATTTAATGAAAATTTAATTCCGAATAATATTGAATACAACGTTTTGCCAATTAAAGTTCAACGTTAAATCAACGTAAATACAACGTTGAGCCAACTTAAAATACAACGTTGGGCCAACGTAGAAAATAAAACGTTGAATCAACGTAGAAAATATAACCATTTTCCAACTTTAAATAAACGTTTTATCAAGATTGGTTTTTAGTTGTTGGCGACGTCGCATTTGTAACCTTAATGATTTAAAAACAACGTTGGCAGCCGATGTTGGGCCAACAAAACGCGCGACATTGTTCTAATGTTTTAACAACGTATATGTGCTAGCTGGGCTGATTTATTGTTAAAAATATTTTTTCTTCCTAATCCTTTAGCTCGTTCGATGGATTCTTACATCTTTTTATAACCCTTCTATCAATTGATGTAGGAGTTCTAGTAGCTTTAGAGACTGTTTTGTAGTTCCATGATTGATTTTCTTTGAAGGGAAAAAAAAATTTTAAACTTCTTTGTTTACAGCTATCTATCATACACCAATATACAAGGTCGTTTACAAGCGTTAAGTTTAGGTGCGCATGTGCCAGAAGTTTATAGAAATTTCAGTGTTTTAAAAATGGCTGCGGCTCTTAGCTACATAATCTTTTTTATATAGCAAAAAAATATATGTTTGTGTATTCTACAAAGAGTGCTCAATGTTCTTAAAGAACAGAGCAATAATAAATTAGTAAAAACACTTATCTAATTTTTATTTTCTTCTACAGCTTGTTTCTCTATCAGTAGGATCGTCAGGAAGCCTGATGATCCTACTGATAGCCAAACAAGCTGTAGAAGAAAATAAAAATTAGATAAGTGTTTTTACTAATTTATATATATATATATATATATATATATATATATATATATATATATATATATATATATATATATATATATATATATATATATAGAGAGAGAGAGAGAGAGAGAGAGAGAGAGAGAGAGAACAACGTAGAATATTACATAATCAGCTTGCATAAATATAAGCTATGTAAAGTTTTATTATATTTCAGGAATTAAAAAGAGCAAACGAGACAAACATTTTTTAAAAACACAATAATATACATAGTTTACATGAAATTTAAGTTAATTTTATTGTTTCATATTAAACTAAAAATTAATCAAGTTAAAATGTTACTCGGTTTTTTTACATATACTAAATCTAAAATTTCAACCCTATAATATTGGAAATATTGGAACAACTATTATGACGACAATTATTGTCTTGTAAAAAATACTTAAATATGGTTCGGTTTACTAATTTAGATACCAAATTGCATTAGTAGCTGGTAATGTACAGTTAGACAATGGTTATTGATATTTATTAGTATTATATATGATTTTATATATTGATAAAGTAGGAGTTAATTTAATAGCTGACTTTGTTAATTTAATTAAGCTGACATTTTTTTTCCTAGATGATTTTATAAAACACTTCAAGAAAATAATTTGATCATTAAAAGCACAGTATCATGTTCTTACTTGACAGAAGCTGAAACCAGATTTTACATTTTTTTAAAGTTTAAAAACTTTAAGATTTAAAAACTATGGTTGTATAAAGTAGGCTAACTCTATGTATAAATGGTATATGCTAATAATCTACAGATTGATTATATTGATGGATTTCAGACATTTGATTGATAATTAAATCAAAAGTTCAATCAGTATGATACAACTTTTTAAATTATGTAATACTGAGAGATAAATAAATAAAATTTATTGAAGATTTTGTTGTTGTTGTTAAAAGTATAATTAATAGATTTTATATAAACTTATTTCCCTCCCATGGGATACAAAGCTCCACAATCTAGCAAACCTGGCCTTTGAGCCAATGTACAGATTCAAACATGTTTACTTTAAATTTAGAGATTTTATTAGTGTATATTATAATACATTAAAATTATACTATCAAATATTTTTAGCTCTTTAATTGAACTATTAATGTTATACAAATGATGAGTTTAACTTTTGTGCATGTCTTTTTTCATGCCCTTAAATACAAAAAAATGTTGAATTAACAAAAACTTTTGATCTTGTTTGTTTTTAATGTTTTTAAATTAAACCTGGAGATTTGATTTTTGTAGTTATAAGGCTGCTAGTAATGTGACGCTTTTTTGCTCTTTTTTGATATCTCCCTCCCCAAAACGGTTTGTAATATTTTGTAACCCCACCCCCCCCTGACCCCAGCCTCCTATTTCTTATGTGAAGTGACATTTGTAAACAAAATATATCTGAGTTTTTGCTAAAAGTTTACTAATTAATAAGGAATTAAATTGAATTAAAATTCAATATCAAGGGGATATTGAATTTTACGTTTAGGACGGATACAAAGGATTAAGAAGTTAAACTTCCAAAGTACCTAAAGAAACGTTGGATGTCATAAAATTAACGTGCAATAGGAAACGGGGGTGCGAAACCAGTGGTTTTACTGCGTATATATATTATGGATACACATAAAAAGAAGTTGTATTAGTGGCGGATTTAGTATTGT